GATATTTTCAAATGAGAATTTAAAAATAGTAGTGAATCCTGCTTAAGACCAATTATCTGTGGCCTTTCTCTTTTCCCAGTAATAAATGTCATTTTCTAGGAATTGCACAAGAACCCTCATTTGTAATAGAAGGCATGTCATAACTCCTTTGTGCAACCCATATGACCCCTGATTTTGTCTTAGCAGATTGGAATTCAAGGCTCCTCTGTAGTTACTCTGTAACCTTACTTACTGACAAGGGGGAAAGAGAGCTGGGTGTGGTGGTACATGCCTTGAACCCTAGCACTTAGGAGGCAGAAGCAGGTGGATCTCTGAGCTAGAGGCAAGCCTGGTCTACAGAAAGGGTTTCAGGATAGCCAGGGATACACAGAGAAACCTTGTCTTGAAAGAAAAAAAAAAGGAAAGAAAGAAAAAAGAGAGAGAAAAAGAAAGAGAGAGGACATAAAGAAAAGAAATAGGGGAAAGAGATCAAAGGGGATTCTTTAGACACTTGTTAGAAACCAACATTATTCCAAAAGCTTCCAAAATCCAACATACATGTTAAGATACTTAACTGTGACTTCCTTAGAGAAGCCTTTACCCATTCTTTTGGGTGTGCATAACTCTACCCAAGAGTGCCTCTCTTTCTATTAACAACTGCATTCAAATCTGTGGTGGTTTTGTTCTGTTTTGTTTTTGTTTTTTCAAGACAAGGTTTCTCTGTGTAGCCCTGGCTGTCCTGGAACTCACTCTGTAAACCAGGTTGGCCTCAAACTCAGAAATCCACCTGCCTCTGCCTCCCAAGGGCTGGGATTAAAGGCGTGTGCCACTAATGCCCGGCACTTTGGGTTTGTTTTTGTTATTTTTTATTTGTTTTAGACAGGGTCTTTGCTGAGTAGCCTTGGCTGGCCTGTAACTCACTATGCAAACCCAGCAGGCCTCAAATTCATAAGAGATATACCTGCTTCTGCCTCCCAAGTGCCAGGATCATAGGCATGCACCTCCATGCCCTGCTTTTTGAGATTTTTTTTTTAGTCTTACTATGTAGGCCAGGCTAGCTTTAACATCACAATGCCGCTGCTTCTTTCCAAGTGTTGGAATTGCAGGTATGAGCCACCATGGCCAGGTAGGTCTCTGGTCTGCCAGTGCCCACAAACAGGCTCAGTCCATTCTCCATTTGAGAAATGTATGAGTGAAACCTGCTCATTTCTCTCAGATGGCTTCTCCTCACACTTGAATGAAATTAAAACAGACACTGGCTGTGTGATTAGCCCATGCCTTTTGTCTGTCTTCATGTCTCCATGCTCTACTTTACCTGGGCTACAATGACCTGCTGGCACACACACACAAACAAACACACTCATACACAGGTTCTCCCCCCGCCCCATCTCTCTCTCTCTAGCTTTGCAGTCAGGACCTTCCCACTTGACACTGCTTCCTTTGGAATACTTAGCCAGATCTTCTGATGGACCATGCTTGCTTTTTCTTTACATCAGGTCATATACTTTGTTATTTGTTCCCTGTCTCCTCCATAATAGAAGGAAAACAGGGTTCCTGTCCACTTCATTCACCACTGTGATGCCAGTACCTAGGCCACTGCCTGGCACATAATAGGGCCATAACAAATACTTAAGAGTGAATGGGGACGAATATCTTTGCCATCTGACTGGCTAAGATCTTGAAGCTGGTAAGCAGCAGAGATAGACTCAAATCCTTACCTACCTGACTCTAGGCTGTAGACTGTCAGCCATTTTCAGGATGCTGGGTTCACTTTGTTAATGACACTGATATAGAACCCAACACGAATGTCACAACCAACAAATTCCAGGCAGGATTCTAGGCAGTTGAATCTCATGCTTTTGAGAGTTTTACCTTCAATTTCCAAGGAACAAAATTCATCTCCCATCTTCAAGGGGCCTAAGGAGGGCTGCCTTTGTGAGGCTGACTGTGACTTTTGAGCTGACAGCAGATTGAGCTGTCCTCAGAGTAGGAGACTCAGGGCTTGCTTGGAACTCAGACAAAGAGTAGCTCGCCAATTGGAGCAGGTTTTGGGGGCACACCTACCACCAGGCCAAGTGGTCTGGGCTGCAGAACGAGGCAAGGGGCAGCAGATGGCAGGGAGAGGAAAGAGCTGAAAGCATAAAGCCTCCAGCAGCTCTGTTGCTCCAGAAGCCCTCTCACCAGCCTGCTGTCTTCAACTCTTGGAGGCAAGTCAGATTGTTGAAGCTCAGCCCAAGTGATTAACAATGACAGCATTTCCTATAAGAGGCACTGTTGTAACACTTTGTGTTTAGTGTTCCTCATAACCCTATGATAGTGGTGGCTCCATTTTCTTTCTTTCTTTCTTTCTTTTTTTTTTGGCAAGTGAAGCACAGACTGTAATTAACTAGCTAGAGAGCACAGCGTAGCAAACAAAGAGGTTAAGAGGAAACTGCAGGCGTCATATAAAAACATAGGCTTGAAGAGCTACTGGAATGTCAGCCTTACACACACACACACAATCACACATACACACACACAAACATTCATACACACAAACACACACACAGCTTTGCCCATTCTGCTCAGCCTGAAGCAGGTACTACAAAACAGGACTCCTTGATCTCTCCATCCTTAGGGGGAGTAGAAAAAATGAGCTAAGCAGGCCTGGAGTGATAGCCAATAACCTGCTTGTTCTTTTCAGTCTTAAGGCCCTCCTATCTGGGAATCCTCCAGACAACATGGTGGATCTCTCAGGCATTCCATTAACTTCACGGGACCTGGAACGGGTGACCAGCTATCTTGAGCGCTGCGGAGAGCAGGTGGACAGTGTGGAGCTGGGCTTCACGGGCCTCACAGATGACATGGTCCTACAGCTACTGCCAGCCCTCAGTTCCCTGCCTCGTCTCACCACACTAGCCCTCAATGGCAACCGACTGACCCGGGCTCTGCTGAGGGACCTCACTGACACCCTTAAGGACCCCAGCAAGTTCCCCAATGTCACATGGATTGACCTGGGCAATAATGTGGACATCTTCTCACTACCCCAGCCCTTCCTGCTCAGCCTGCGGAAGCGCTCTCCAAAACAGGGCCACCTACCAACTATCTTAGAGCTGGGTGAGGGGCCAGGTACTGGGGAAGAAGCCAGGGAAGGTAGGACTCAGCAGGACCCCACAGGGAGCCCTGTGACACCTGCTAGGGGCCAGGAGAGTAGAGAGGCTGTGATTCAGACATGACATAGAAATAGGGGTCCTAACCAGGGAGTCCTTCTGGATGGCCAAGGCAGGTTAGGGGTCCCTGGGATCAGGGGAATGTCTGGACAGCCCTACTCAGCTCTCACCAGTATTAGATCAGAATACTAACCGGTCCTCAAACCCAACTCCCAGTACTTGCTCAAGGGCCTCAGATGTCTCCATTCAGCTGCTCTCCTAGACCAATGCACCTGGACCAAAAGTTCTTTATTGGGCCCACTTACAATTTAGGAAGGTATCATAGGCACCTACTCTTAAGACATCTACCTACTTCCCAATTCCCAGGGCCTCTTGAAGGCAGCATGTCTCAGACTAAGTGTGGAAAACCAAGTACATGCTGCGGACCTTTTGCTGGCTGGCAATCTTACTGTGTAGGGCAGTACCTTGCCTAGCTCCCTTACTCAACCAGCACTTTTTCTACCAGCTGTTTCAGGTTCTCCTCCCATAATCTTTTCGCTTTTCAAAAACTCACTTACCAAGGCTCCAGAACTAGTTAAGTCCTAGTTAAGCAAAAGGGGAAAACTGGGGGGGTTCCTAACACCCATAAGCACTCCTCGTCCCCAACAAGGAGCAACTGCCCAAGAGAACTGTTCTGAATTAAATGGTCAAATCTGAACTCAATGGGGAAGCACAGCCTTACTGGCCAGGTAAGCAAACTAGTTTACAGGATCTGGACAAGATGGTACTTTGCATGGTACTGCACAATCGCAGCCAAGGACAGGAACTGAGTGTGGGTGCCTTACATGCTTTGGAATCTTTGTCCAAGTCTTAGGTTGTGAAAACAGCCTAGACTGACCAGAAGTTTACAGTGCTAAAGCTGGACTGCTTAACACCTGACACTCAACTTTACTCTTCAAATACAGGTTTTTAAGGACCAATACCAAAGACTGCTTGATTATATATGCAGTGCTCTTTTGATAGTTAACTGCACACACATCTTAATTCACCCAACACACTGGCAATCAGTTTTATAAGCAAGAGTTTATTAAAAGGTGCAGAAGATCCTGTGGTGCGCAGGATTACCAAACGTGCCCATCCAGAACAAAACTGGCAGACATCACTGGCAAGTTTGCTTTCAGGATGGCTGGAGACTCCTCTGGAATACAGCCTGCAAAAGAACTCAATTTCAGAATAACTCCTGCCTGGATCAATAGCATTTAGAACATTTAAAGATATTTTCAGAAAACCATAGGCTCACCACTACCAATCTGCCGGTAATTCCAGCTATTTTAGGTGATATCATCATTTGATATCTTTTTCCAGAACAATGACAGGCAGTAGCTGTATAGACCAACTCACCTCCTCTGCTGCTGCCAACACCATCTGCAGCCTTGCAGTCAGTTCTCAGAACTTGAAAAGGACACCCTAAGATTATAGAAGCAGGTAATTATTTCAAATGGCAGCCTCCCAAAACCCTTTGTTTCACACACACACCCACGATTTTTCTTGTGGATTTCTCTTTGTAGCCCCCACTCAAACTGTAGACCAGATTGGCCTGAACTCTCTGCCTGCCTCTTCTCCAGAAACCTACAGTTCTTAGCACATCCTAGACCTTACAAGGAGAGTATTTTTTAAGTTACTCAAATACGGCTTCAACTAGCCACCAGTGAGCTGGCTCTGGCCAGACCACATACATGAAAATATTAAGACCCAAGTTAAAGGACTGGAAGGTCTAAGAGCTCTTCCACAAGACCAGGTCTGATTCCCAGCACTCACAGTGGGTCACAACAGCCTCTAAGTCTGGTGCAATTTTTTTTCTAGCATCCAGACATCAGACACACACACACAAAAATGGCTCTGCAATTAAGAGCTATGCATTCTACCTTGCCTTACTTAACCACCTCCATCAGCTACAACCAGTATTGAGTACAGGCAAAAATTGATTGTTTACTTCATGGGAGGCCACAGCTGTTGACAATCTTCCCCCAACCTAGGATTACAGCAGTTGTTCAAAGTCCAGACCAAGTTCATCCTGAACACCAGCCACTGGTGTGAACTTGACTGCAGTCAGCCTGGAGCAGTTATCGTCACGGTACTTCTCACTAGTGACTTCATCACAGCAGTCAAACTTGCCACTCCCACGAGTAGTTTCAGCCATTACGTGGAGACCGGTCTTAAATTATGCATGTGCCCACGTGGGTGGGTTAAGTGTGAATGAAGTCTCCTTTGGCCATAAAATGTTGGGTTCCCTGCAACCAGGGAGATATATATATACACCTGGCTATGAACCCCATCTGATACAAAGTGTCTCTTAACAGCTGAGCCAGCCCCAGGAGGAAGGTAGCTAGGAATACTTCTGCATAAAGCATGAGTTCAAGTGCAATCCTTATTTTAAGGCTGTGCCTGGAACGCACTATCCAGTAACACAACTTAAGCCACTTGGATGATTCCAGAAAACTCTTACCTCATGGTGGGATACTGCTCCTACTCCACGTTCTCAACGTCCCGTCTGAAAGGTTAGGAAAAATAACAATCAAGAGACAATTCGGACACTCATGTTCAGCACTGAGTCGCCGAGGCTTGAATGACTGCAGTCAGCTAAATAGGGTTGTCGTCAGTTGTCGCTTCGGACGGCACTTCCTATTATTTCTAGTTTCATCAGTGCAGTCGACACCCCGCCCACGCGCGTCGCCCAGCGATGCAGACCTCAACTTACCAGGCTCCCCTAGATCTGTGCGGCGCCCACGGCGGTGCTGAGAGGCTGGGCCCGGGCTCAGCATCGCTCCGGACCGCCATCAGCCGGTCACGGCAAAGGCACCAGCTGCAGGACGGAGAAGAACGCGATCCCATGATGGCTGCAGAGAAAAGGCGCGGGTGAGCGCCCTATTCTTAAGGGCTCGGAATAGACCACTCCTCACACGACGGAGGTGAGGGCGGCAAAGGCTCACGGGAACTCGTAGCGCACCTAAGCAGGCCCGCCTCGCTACCCGGGTCTCCCCCGTTCTGTTGAGCGAGTGGTCTCCACCGCCCCGGTGGATTCTGGGTAAGGAAGAGTGCGGCGCCTTCCACCGCGCCTGCGTGATGATTTAAATGTAGACTCGGCTTCCTTTCAGTGCTTTTCCGCCCTATGGTTTTCTGTGAATTCTCAGTCTTTTGTTTGTTTGTTTTTTTTTGGTTTTGTTGTTTTTGTTTTTCGAGACAGAGTTTCTCTGTGTAGCCCTGGTTGTCCTGGAACTCACTCTGTAGACTAGGCTAGCCTCGAACTCTCGAACTCAGAAATCCACCTGCCTCTGCCTCCCAAGTGCTGGGATTAAAGTCATGTGCCATCACCGCTCGGCTCTCAGTCTTTTGTAATTGCGTATAGAGTTTGCAAACGTGTAATCGGACCTGACAGTGCAGGCCTGTAATCATAATCGATTAGGAACCCAAGATAGGAATTCGAGTCCAACCTGGGCAATTTAGAGAGCCCCCGTCTCTAAATTTTAAATTAAAAAAAATAAAGTGGGCCAGTATAATCTAGCTGGGTGGTGGAGAGCCTGCTGTGTAAGCACGCGTTTAATCCTCAGGACCTGGGAATGGAGGGTAAAACATTGGTTCACCTGAGCTAACACACCGGAGACCGCTTTTTCAACATATCCACGGAACCTCTCAAGACTATGCAGACGGCCCTCATCACATTCCTTAAAGAACTATAGGGTCAAAAAGCGCTCTTGATCCACTTCCATTGCCCCCTGCTCTTTCTGCTTCTGACCGGAGAGACTTGCACTGGGCTTAACTCATGGGGATAAGAAAACTGCTGATGCTATCTCTTCAGTATATGAGCATGTTTGGGTTTCTCTTAAGGGCTGGGAATGCAGTGTTTCCCTAGCAAACATGAAGTTCTGAGAGCTATCCCCAGCACCTCATAATCTGGGTATTGTGGCAAACTCATGCTCTATGTGGAAGCAACAGAATCAGAAGTTCAAGGTCATCTTCAGCTATGAGGTCAGCCTGGAATATGTGAACCTGTAATCCTAGCATTCAGAAGACTGGAGTAGGGTTCTTCTGAGTTCAAGACCAACCTGACCTACAGAATGAAATCCTGTCTCAAAACACTTCAGTGCAAAGTCTGTTGAGCTGGTACATAAGATATGCTAGCTTCTACCTAACAACACACACATCAGTGTTTGCATGTACTTCTTATGCAAATATGCCGAAGAAGCAACTCATTTTGAAAAAAATTAGAAAGGTGGTCATGAGATTGCAATCTAGGTGGTCTGAGGAATAAACAGAATTTTAATGAGGGGAGGGAAACCCAGGCCAAAACATTCATAAAGGAAATAAGATCATTTCTTTTGGAGCCAAACATGCTTGACTATGGTGAGGAACAAAGATACATATTTCCCAAATACCATGTTCTACACTGGAAGTGTCTTGGGTCTTTTTGGTTTGGTTGGTTAGTTGGTTTGGTTTGGTGCTGTTTTTGAGGCAGGGTCTCTCTGTGTAGCACTGGCTGTCCTGGAACTTGCTCTGTAGACCAGGCTGACCTTGAACCCGGACATCTGCCTGTCTCTGCCTCTTCAGTACTAGGATTATAAGCATGTGCCGCCACCACTGCCCTGCTTGTTACAGAACATGAAAGTCATTTGTTGGGGACCTCAATTGGCAAGTTACAGTAAAGAGGAGGACTCTGTTGTGAGTTTCAGGTGCTACCCAGTGACATTTTTTAGCTTTTGGATTTGTGGAAACTAGTGGTCCGTTAAGAATGTAAGGTTTTCACCGTCACAAGGATGTTAACTCAGGGGAAAAGGGATGTGGATGGCTTCAAAGGGAGCAAAAATAGCCCAAGATAATAATTTAGTTCGAGTTTGAAAGCTAATTTCAATCTTGAGTCATTTGGCCTTGAATCTTTAACAGAGGTGCAGCTCTCCCTTGCCCTCCCCCTTTTGGGAGTTTCAAGTTGCAGAAACTTGTAGCAAACGTCAAGTCATAGAGTCAAATATGAGGCACTCCAGGCTTCATGAATAATTAAGAGAAAGTACTAAGGATTTTTCATCAAACTCCCCTAAAAACAAAAGGTGTGCAGGGTGGCGTGGGTCTGGAATTCATGGGCAATGAAAGCACAAGGCAGAAGATACTGCTCTCAGGCCCAAAGAGTTCAGAAGTGGACTTGCTTGTCTTATGTCAAGAAGGTCCTCTGGCTTTCCTGCAGTAAAGAGCCGTGGAAAGCTGAAGACTGGGTGGGTAAAAGCAATGATCCAGAGCTTCCAGGAGGAGACTGGGACCCTAGAGGTGGGACAGTGGCTTTATTTGCCTTGTGGAAGAGGACAGGAGGAGAATGAGGTATGGCGGGTGAGGGTTTCTGACCAGACTAGCCCCTGACCTGGGTTAGCTCTTAGAGACACACGCAAGTACTACCAGATGCAACATTCCAGTAACTTAAAAAGAATACTTCTAGAAGACTTGGTTATGCAAAAAAAAATTTATATTTCCACCAAAATTCAGTCCTCTATGGTGTGGCTGGAAAGATTTGTTACTCTTCCCTGCCAGCCTGCTGCCACATCTGGACCATCAGTGGGATTGGTGGACCTGAAGAAGCAGATGGTCTTCCTCTGAGGCACTGTTCTTCCCAGGTTTTTAAGTTGGGTTCTTTTCATGACCTGTAAATAGAAAGAGGATCACTGTGGCTTTGCCCTCGGTGCATCCCCTGGAAGGAGGTGCCAGGCATACAAAAGAGGGCCACAACCTTGAGAGACCACCATATTGTGGATATGACAGCAAATTCTGGAGCCCCACCTCCCTGATTTCCTCCTCCCAGAATCTCCTGACCCCTTCCATGGGCTACTCAGGGGTTTCCTCACAGAATTTTAAAGATCCACAGAGCTGACAGGCTCTGTCAGAAACCAGAACCTCTGAGGCACACTGAAGAGAAGGGGGAGCAGGTCAGGAAGCTAAGAGGAGAGAGGTGATCCTTTTTGGGATTTAGGGGTGGATATGGACACCCTGGGAAGATGAGAGCCCAGAGACACACAAAGAACATAGAGTAGTGCAGTGGGAATGGCTGTTGTGTTGGCAGAACTCTCGAGGAACGAGTCAAATGGCTCTGGGGCTTGACAACAGCATAGAAACAGTAAAGCTTATGACCCTTCTAGAGCTGTGTAGCAAAGGCCCTGTGTAGACATTGGCTACATTATCCAGAATGGAGTAGTACAAGCCTGAAGGAGACCGTTTTCTCTAAAGATTGGTGTAGATGCTGAGACACCTTGTGGGTACAGAGGTTCAAGGGTAAGGGGATGCCTGAGAGGCCAAGGATCAGCATCAGATAGGAGGAATGGGCAGAGGTCCCAAGTCCAGGTGTTAAGGTTAAAGCTACATGCATGCTGCCTGCTTGGACAGCCCCAAGGCTGTTTCCAATCAAGCCAGTGTGGCTAGCTCGCAGCAGGACTAGGATTTGGGTATGGAACACCTGGACCAGATGAGCACCCAAATGACTCACTATCCCGGCATTTTGTGAAGGGCTAGAGAAGGGAAAAGGAAGCCTTGATGTGAGGATAGGAGGCAGGAAACCAGCAGACCCAGGGCCAGCAAGATGCCAGGAGAGCCTCCTTGTTACAGAACTTAGGCAACTCGGGAGATTATTAGAGAGAGGGTTGGTGTATTCGGCAAGAAAGAGGAGGGACTGTTGAGGAGAAATTCACAGAAGCTTTGGACAGCATCCATGGGATGGGAAGGAGGAGTTGGTTTTGGTGGAGACAGCAAGGTAGAGACAGGAAGGCTGTTACAGGGCTAGAACAGAAGGCCAAAAGCCACAGAGATGTACAGGAAGTGACTTCTTCTGGGGCTTAAGGAGGTGGGCCTTAGGTCAGATAGGCTGGCCTGTCAAAGGTGGTCCAGGGAGATGCCAGCAGTGCTGTAGACCAGGACAGGATGGGGGAGTTCAGACACATACTCCCTAACTTGCTCCCTTCCTGGGAACCCAAATCCAGCCCTGGCCAGTACAAAGGATGCCACTGATAACTAGGGCAGCAGAGAAGAGGCCAGAGGCACTGCCTTGCAGAGTACTGAGAGCTAAGGATCTTTCTCCAGACAGGCCAGCAGGGCAGGCTTGGGATAGAGGGACCAAGGCACCAATCCCAGCAGGAGGAGCAGGTGTGGGCGCAGCTGCAAAGCAATCACACCACCTGGCTCTGAGTCCCAGCAGGACTTTCAAAGGCTGATTTGCCATCAAACCCACAGCACATGCTCACAAGAAACAGGGCAAGGGCTCCAGCCCCAAGGCCACTCACCAGTGATGCCTGCCCCTGTCGGATCCTCAGATAAGGTGGGAAGCGTTTTCTCCCATGCCGCCCAATTTACTTCCTCCACCCTGCGGGTGACAGAAACAGCTCTAAAGTTTAGGGAAGCTTGCAACAGCCCAGCAGGTTTTCCTGTAGGTGCGGCTGGGGGTGGGGGTGGGGCTGGGGGTGGGGGTGGGGGTGGGGGGATCACTTCCAGGGACTGAATGAGTAGTGAGGAAGATAAGGATTTTTTTCCCTTTTCTTCCCTTCCCTCACCTCACATTCTCCATCCCTGTGACTCTTCATTATGACTCATAAGGCCAGGTATCCATGTGGAGGAAGAGGCCCCCCTCCTCCCCAGCTGTTCCCAGTGTCTGACTTTCCCAGAGCGACCAGAGGAAGTGAGACTGGATGTATCTCTGTGCTTCAGGTTCTGGGCTCTTTTACAGCCGCTTTTCGTGAGTAAAGCCCCCATCTTCTCCCTTGCTCAGCTGCTGCCCATAAAGGTGTCTGCTGTGGCTGGACATTCCCTCTCACGGAAAACTCATCCTCTCTGGACACTGAAAAGCTTGGTTTCCGTGGAAGGGGCATAGCTTCAAGAGCAGACTGGAAGATCAAGGGATGAGGGTAGCCAGCGTGACCTCAGAATTCTGGCTTCTTGGCCAGAGGGTAAGTCAGAAACCACCAGGGAGTGGACCTTAAGTTTGTACCACTGGGATGGCAACGTCGACAGGCAGTAGCAGCAGGGTCAGGGAGTGGGGTCTGGGTGTTTCTTAGATCCAGCAACCCTTACTAGTCCAGACAGAATAATCTTGTTTTCCTCAGCCTTACCTCTCCCACCACACCTGACTCCTACAGCTATTTAGGAACATAAGGCTATCCTGAGTCAGCCAGCTCCCACACCCCCTCGCCCCTTTACCACCCTCGCCCCCCCCCCCCCCCCCCGCCCCTTCCCCCCCCCGCCCCCCCACCCCCCGCTCTGCCCTGCCCACTAGCTCACCTGAAGCACCAGCGCTCATCAGGGATACCATCCCCCCTGGTGCCAACTTTCAGCAGCCTCCCTGCCCGATGCCTCTTCCTCCTGTACCACCAGTAACCATTCTCCATCTCCAAGACAGAGATGGCTTTCTGGGGACAAAGGACACATCAAATAGTAGCCCCAGGGACCCTGCTTGGAGGGAGAAGGGCCCAGGGCAAGGAAATAAGAAGATGCGCTCACAGAACTTTACAGTATATATGCCAAAGACACAAATAGGGAGCTATCTGCAGTACTTTTCCTGTGGGACACAAAGTTCTGTGATCTTCCCAGAATCCGTTTCCCCATCTGGTAATTAAGAGAAAAACACCACAGGTGGTGTTTGGGAAGTGAACAGGTAAGGAGTGCTCAATAGTAGCTTGTGCTTATGCGCTCCAGGCTATATCACTTTCCCAGTGTCCACACGCACCAGTTGTCTCAGCCCCCACTTGAGGATCAAGGTGGAAATGGCTGCAAGGACAGCAATAATTTATCAGCAGAGTCCAACCTCCAGAGCAAGGCTCTCCCTGGCCTAAACCTACACACCCTTTCTCTGGCCAAGTCAGACACACACAGCTAATGCTCGGTGCTGAGGTGAAAGGGTGTCAAGATGTCATATTAGACCCCGCCTCCAGCAAGCTGTCCTGCATCCTCCCATATCAATCCAGACTTTACATATGTGGAAATCAGGAAGGGCTTTTTTCTTGTCTCTGCTGGTTTTGTAGTGCATAGCCCGACCAGTAATAAGCATTTAAGACATGCTTGCTATTCAACCATGGTAATTCAACGCATATAATCCCTGTACTCAACACTGAGGCAGTGGAATTGTTGACTTGGAGGTCAGTTGGTGATACATAGTGAGACTCTTGTCTCAATAATAATAACAAGGGATCATGATGAACACCTACTATGTTCCAGGTACTGTCCTGGATGCTTCATAAGCCTAAGCTTATTTATCTGATCCTCACAACAACCCTTATAAAGGAATGAATGGCGACAACTTATTGGCTACAACCAGCCAGCAGGTTGGTTCTGCTGGGCTGAGTCCATGTGATTGGATGCTGGGCCTGTCAGTACCCTCCACTGGAGTGGGGCTGGCTCAGCAGGATCCCGAGGGTGAGGTGATGCTCACTGGCAGTACCTGCAACTTCCAGATGCTCCAGCTGTCAGTGGCAACACTGTTGACAGTCTCACTCATGAGGGCAATGAGCATGTTGAGCAGCAGGACGTAGGTGAGAAGGACATAGGCCAACAGAAACAGCAGCAGCACCCCACGAAAGCGCAGCTGTTCTTGGAACGCCAGCTCCCCGATCCCAATGGTTAACTTGAACAGCTCTAGGGAGGCATCCAGAATGTCCCGAAATGGGACTGGCTCCTTCTCCTGGCCCAGCATCACTGTGGTAGTATCTTCAGGGCGTTTGGAACTTCGGACATCCCGGCTCAACCTTACTAGGGCTGTAGGTAAATAAGAAGGGGGAATCTCAATCTGGAAGACCATCAGGCGGCCTATTGGGTGGGTGGGGCAAGAAAGGAGTATTTGGACTGTCAACGTGACTCTGTGAGTAACGGTGGGTGGTGCTGCTGCAAGCATGAGGACCTGTTTTTGAATCTCCAGCACCTGTGCCAAAAGCTGAGTGTAGGGCTGCCAAAGATGGCTCATCAAGTAAAGGTGTTTGCTTCCAAATCTGATGGCCTGAATTTGGTCCCCAAGTTCCACTAGATGGAAGAAGACAACCACCTCTCATAAGTTGTCTTCTGACCTACACACATACACACACACACAAAGAAATGTAATTTTAAAATTCTAAAGCTTCATATGGCTATAACCGCAGCATTGCGGAGCAGAGACAGGCAGATCCCTAGAGTGCACTGACCATGCTAAAAAAAACAAAAAACAAAACAGTGAACTTCCGGTTCAGTGAAAGACACTACTGTCTCAAGACAGGGAGAGATAACAGAAGTGACCCAGCATCCTGCTGAGGCCTCTCTGCATGCATGCACAGCAGTCCACAGACTCACATTCACACACACATGCATGCACTACACATGAACACTAAAAATTTGAAAAGGTCTTTACCTACAGCAAAGCCGAAAAGGAAGACTAGGTAGACCAGCAGGAAGCGCAGCAGGTCTCGCAGGATGACCTGGAACATACAAGCCCAAGGGGAAGCCTGGGTAAATGGCCCATGCATTCCAACCCCAGACCCCATTAGTAGGGTTCCCTTGTGCACACTCACCCCTTCTACAGACTGTGTGTACAAACATGGGTCATTCTGAGCCGAAGGAGCCTTTTAAAAATCTACCTCCAGCTCAGTGGGTCAAAGAGCTTGCCTGCATGCATGAGGGCCTGACTTTGATCCTAACCACTGAGCCATCTCTCCAGTCCCTATTTTACAAGAATTTTATTTAAACCCCAGACACCTGTACTGTCTGCCTTCTCCCTCCCCCACACTTGGCCTTTTCTGATTCTTGTCCTCCTGCTGTCTTGAGCACTTCCCACCCCCACCCCCCTTGTCCTGGCTCTTTGCCTTCACTTTTATTGCTCCCTCTAAAAAGGGTGCTCCTTCCTCCACTCTAAGGTGGCTAACTCATTCTTCCAGGTCACCAATAAGGGACTGTCAGGTCTAGCTCAGTGGTAGAGTCCTTGACTAGCTTGTATGGAGATCCAGTTTCCTCCTTCTATACTGCATAAAAAGAAAAAAAAAAAAACAAATCCTCTTCAAGCCCTGCATGGTGGTGCATGCTTTTAATCCCAGCACTTGGGAGGCAGAGGCAGGCAGATTGTTGAGTTCAAGGCCAGCCTGGTCTACAGAGTGAATTCCAGAACAGCCAGGGCTACACAGAGAAACCCTGTCTCAACTAAACAACCCTCTACAGAAAGGTTTTGTTCATCATCTCTAAACTGTCATCTGTCCCAGTCATTGTCCATAAAGCTGTCCTGAGGGTTTCCTCTGTAGGGGTTTATAGTCAGAAACATCCTGGGCTGTTTACTTAGCACTTTCATTCCCCAAGATGGAACGACAGCTTCAGAAGAATAATAATGTGTCTGGTTTGTTCTGTATTGTGTTTCCAATACTTAGAAAAGAGCCTGGACCACAGTAGATGCCCCTAAACACTTGTGAAATAAATGGGCATGGACTCATACAAATGCCCCCATGTCCCAAGGCTCAGACAAATGGATAAGTGAATGAGCATAGTATCTGCTCCTTTATGAAAGATGCACTAGTTCCTACATAGACACCTGCCAACAGATGTATGCATATGCATCTGCATATGTTTGAAGACATCCAGGTTCACCCACACCCATACATGCAGTCATGGAGGGCAAGCGTCTGGGAAAATGACACATGGGCAAACAGCTCATGCTTCCTTCCACTCAGGATACCTGTAGAAGATAGCTCCTGACTCATGAGGCCAAAAGGAAATTACTGGGAGGTGTGTCCAGCCCTCCCTTGTACGGCTGTACCTGGTCCAACCCCATCTCTCACCTTCTGGATCATGACACAGTAGATGCCCGTGTGTTGAAAGCCACGTGTATAGTAAAGCAGGTTCAGCCAGCCCAGCACTAGGGATAACACTAGCAGGGGGACGTGCCATTCAGTCGCCGTGAAGTACAGCACCTGAGACAGCACTGTGAACAGAGCCTGGGCAAGGCTGGATGGGGGAAAGATCTGCATCAACTTCCAGGCCACTTGGCAATAATATCCCCCCAACTCCTATGAGACTGTGCCAACCACCATTGACAGCCTCCACCACCTCAGGAAGACTCTCTGTCTAGAGCTGGACCAATCACAGTGTAACCTCTAACCTGGGCAAGTTACTTATTCTCTGGGCCTCCTACTTGTAATAATGATGATGCCTGACTCAAAGAGTGTCTTCAAAAAGTGAGCTACTACATGGAATGAGGCCTTACAAAGATGGAAACATGAAAGGACCCAAGCTGTCCAGCAGCCAGGATTCCCAGGTCAGGAGTATATTCCCATCCTTGTCCCCTAGAACAACTCGGGACCCTATGTTCTGGCCTCTACAACCAGCTTGGTATGCTCTGCTACACCTGCCACACTCAGAAGAGGAAGACTCACAAGAGGAATTCAAAGTAGCTGTCCATGGATGAGATCCAGATGAACAGGCGCCTCTGCCAAAAGTACCACAGCTGTGGAAGAGAGCAGTCAGGGTGTTTGTGTGTGCCTAACTTGCTCTTAGCTCTAAGTGCAAGCCAGGCTGCCCCTGTGACCTGTGGCCTAGATTCTAGCTACCCCCACTTGCTTCCTAGTATAGGAACCTGACTAACACCACCCCAGGGGCTAAAACTGTAGCCTTCCAACACCTGTCCCCCCTCAATATGTAGCTTGTATTGGTTGGTTTTATGTTGACTTAAGCCTGAGTCATAGGAGAGGAGGAAGCTTCAACTGAGAAAATGTCTCTGTAAGATGGGGCTGTAGGCAAGCCTGCAGGACATTTTCTTAGTGACTGATGAGGGAGGGCCCAGTTCATTGTGGGTGAGATCACTCTTGGGCTGATGGCCCTGGATTCTAGTTTAAAAAGTAGGCTGACAAACCATGAGGAGCAAGCCAGGCACTCGTGAGCCCTTCTACAAGCTGAGATAACTTTTGATTCTCTTTCCAAACACACAGCTAAGAAGTATGCAGATCATAAACCTCTAGTCCAGCTACTTGGAAAGCTGAAACAAGAGGATCACTTGAATTCAGAAATTCAAAGACAACTTGGACATCATGGGGCTTCCTGGTCCTCCTGGATCCAGAAGGAGTGCCTGCATACTACACATAGAATGGAGGAAATGGTCCTTTGTCTTCATCTCTCCCTGGCCTTCCAGGTTGCACCCTGTGTTCCAGCCAACCCCACATTGGTGTCACATTCTGCTCTCTCTAAGAAGGTCCCCGTATCTTGATATCTAGCCTGCTTACTGCAGGTCTGCTGCCAGGTTGAGATGTCTTGCCATAGGATTTAAACTGAGCTCCACTTACTAATTGCTTCCTATGCTCAGCAAGTGAAGAATGGCCCAGGCAGCTGAAGGATCCGGGGTGAGGGTCTCAGGCTTGATTTTATGGGTACAGAGCCTGCACTGCCAGAAACACAGAAGCCCTCTGCTATCCCAAGGTACCCCAGAAATCATAGCAATAAGTGTGCCAGAGCCCCAGAAGGCAAGGCCAGACCCCTCCACTCTACTGAGGCTGGATCTGGGAATCTGTTTCTGCAGCAGTGAAGGGTGAATAGCTAACTTCCAGTAACGTCATGGTTTGCTTCTTGGTTGACTGGGAGCTACATGAGATAGAAGAATAGGAAAGAGTCCTTACCTGGCCCAGTAAGAGGTAAATACCCCCAAGCAGGATGAGAATGTGGCCCAGAAGCAGCATGGGTTCCCCAAAAGTCGCTTTTGATGAGGGAATGGCTGGCTGAAGAGACAAACACTCCCATAAGACCTAGAGTCTTGGGTCCCAAGAGCAGCAGCCCAAGAGCCTCAGGTGAGAAATGATTCTGAGCCTACACTATGGTGAGGCCGCTCTGAGCCACAGAGAGGACAAGGCTCTGGGGAAGGGCCCTGATTCCAGCCCCTTAGCAGCATATGATATTAGTATTGGACTTGGGGCCAGATTTCCTAGGTTTAGGTCATGTCTACCACTGAGAGTTTCCATTACCTTAGATAACATAGTTAATCTTCCTCTGCCTCTCCAGTAGCTCAGTAGTAAACCCAGCATGGCAGTCCTTTATTCCAGAGGCTGCTGTGAGTGGTCATCAGTTAATACAAGCTGACCACTTAGACTAGCATCTCACATCTGGCAAGCATTCAGTAAGAATTCATTCCCATCGCTGTCTCCATTGCCCTAGGGGACTGTTTCCAGAAGAGCTCTGGGTACATCCCTCAAGCTGCCTAAGCCTCAGTGTTCTCTTTCCTAGGATGGTGCTCCTTGCCCCTTCTTCCCAGGGTTGCTTCAAGCAGGTGTGCCCAGGATGGTCCCACCCAGCTCTTGCCTGGTCCAGGGAAGGCTGGTGGTAGGCAACTATGGTGAAGATGAGCATGTAGACCAAGTAACAGGCGAAGTTGAAGAAGAATCTTGGGATGAGCCGATCCCATTTCTCCTGCAGAAGCTTGTTCAGTGGCTCTAACACCACCATGCGGTGCCGATGCTATGGTGGGAGGAGAGCACAGTATAGGAAGGACAAAGCTGGATAGACCCTCTGACAAGCACCCACCTCACAACCCCCTCCACATGAGGACCAAGAGAAATGGAGAGGAGCAAATGGGGAACAGGTTCCCATTCCCAGGATCCCTAAAAAGTGCTTCCCATGAGCCTTCACTCCATCAACTCTACTACAACGTGATGGAAGGCTTGCCCTGAGCCAGAATCTCTAGGCAGACCAACGCTCCAAGGACTCACCGGACTCTTGCAATGAAAAGCGATGATTTCCAGCACCGAGTTCTTTTCCCAGCTGTCCACAGAGGACAGGTCATACAGTGATACACGGACAGGACCATAGCACCACTCGGTGAACTTTCGGGAAAGGGGCTGGTACTCTCCTGAGAATTCCCGCTGCAGGATGTGCCTGAAAATCTAAAGGGCAGTCACATAAGCTCACCTGCTAGTTACCCTGCCTGCACTAATGCTGGGTCAGGGCTGGGGAACACTGAGCCCCTGCAGAGCACAGAGATCCTACCATGTTTCAGCACTTACATATAGTCAACCAAGCATGAACTGTCGGGTTTACATTCCTACATATGGACGAGCAGGTTGACCCTTTCTTCCCCCATTCTGTCCCTGTGGATTCCTTTCCTGTGTTCCTCAGATAGCACAGAGATCCCAGCTGGGGACTGAAGTCATTTAAAATCGGAGACCACCAGTTATGCATGTGTATGCACATCTGTGGTCGGGGGCAGAACGTTTAACAGACTAGAAAGGGATCTCTACTCCAAACAGCTTAAGAAATCTGACTTCACATACAAGGACAAGGAGGGTACAGACTGGGAAGAAACCTACACAACACGTAGAGCCATGCCTTTAGATGTTTGTTTGTTTGCTAGCTTGCTTGTTTTAAATGTCTGTATGGGTGGTTCACCTGCATGTATATCTGTCTGTGCACCACATACGTGCAGTGTCCATGGAAAACGTGAGTATTAGATCCCCTGGACTGGAGTTACAGACTGTTGTGAGTGGCTCTGTGTGTGCCAAGAATCAAATTCTGGTTTTCTGGATGAGCAGCCAGTGCTCTCAACCACTGAGTCTCTCTGCAGCCCCAGCCAGGCCTTTAGACAACAAAGGTTCTCCAGCAAGAGCACCAGGAGTTGAGAGCAGGAAATAGTATTAAAACTGTTCCTTCTAACCCAGGTGATGGTAGTGCATACTAGGAGCAGAAACTAGTACTAAAATTGTTAATTATAACACAGGCAGTGGTGGTGCACACCTTTAATCCCAGCTCTAGGGAGGAAGAGGCAGACAGATCTCTGTGAGTTCCAGGCTAGCTTGGTCTACAGAGTGAGTTCCAGGACAACCAGGGCCACACAGAGAAACCCTGTCTCGAAAAAACAAAAACCAAAACCTGTTACTTATTATGTTTATTTTATTTTGACCTTTAAAATGTCTCCTCATATATGACTACAGACTAGACCTGTGAAGCAGCTCTAAAAATAAAATTTAGATACTTGCAAGGCACTCAGGAGGGAAAAAAAACAAAGAGTTGGATAGTACTTACTCTTTCTGCCAAAAGTACTTTCAAGCAAATCAGTTTTAAACATTAAAAGTAAAACTGTAGGGGCTAGAAATATATCGCGGTGGTTAAAAGCACTTGCTACTCTTGCAGAGGACCCTGGTTCAGTTCCCAGCACGCATACAGATGTTCACAACCATCCATAACTCCAGTTCAAAGGGCTCAAATACCCTCTTCTGATCTCCACAGGAACTATGCACACACGTGATGCACATATACACATGCAGGCAAGTCACTCATATGCATAAAATAAATAAATCCAAGACAATTTTTATATAAATTCAAAATAAATAACAGTGCCAGGTATGCTGATGCATGCCTGTAATTCCCAGGGAAGCCAGGAGAGGCCAGAGCAAGGCAGCTAACTGGGTAAAGGCACGTGCTTGCTATCAAGCCTGACGACCTGAGCTTGATCCCTGGAACTCACAGGGTGGAAGAAGAGAACCATGTCCTGCAAGTCATCGTCTGACTTCCACATACATGCTATGACATGTGTTCACATTTATGAACACACATGATAAATGCAAATAGAGTTCAAGTTCAACCTAGGCTGATAAAACCCTGTTTCAAAGCAAACCAACATAAAAAGAAAAAAATCACAGAAGTCTGGAAGAAAAAATATATATGTATATTATATATAATGATAACATAAAGAATTATGCTATTATAGAGCATGCAATACAAGCTATATATATATTGCAATGGCCAATCTTCTCAATAGGATCTAGAACTGATGAAGAGACAGTGTCTGTGCATATGTATGAGTAGTTATTTCGACTAGGTCAATAGAGATGGACAGACACATCTTACATGTGGATGTCACCATCCTATGCTGGGGCCCTGAGCTGAATAAAGGGAATGTAAGCTGAGCATGCGTGCTCATCTCTACCTGCTTCCTGACCACTGATGGCAGTGAACAGCTGCCTCAGGCTCCTGTTGCTATGCCTCCCTGCTGTGGTGGACAGCACCCTCAAACTGTGAGCACCCCACCCCCCAAAAAACCCTTCCTTAAGTAGCTTTTGGTCAGGTATTTTGTGTAGCATCATGGAAAGTAGCTAGTACACATATGTAGCAGGTATATAAAATACAATATTGGTGCTGGAGAGATGGCTCAGTGGTTCAGAGCACTGGTGGCTCCTCTATAAGACCCAAGCCACATGGCAGCTCACAACTGTAAGTCCAGTCTCAGGGGGGTCTTACTCCCTCTTCTGGCCTCCAAGGGCACCAGGTGTGCATGTGGTGCACAGATATTTATGCAGGCATATATCCATACATATAAAAATACATAATTTTTTAAGAATACTTATTATAAAATATATGATTACATCACATATCATATATATCTTATAGAATGTGTTAAGCAATAGGAAAACTAAGGAATTTTAAGTAAAAGATCATTACACTCGCATACATAAAAATTCCATTTGGCTTAGTTACTCACACAGGGACTATCTTGCTAAGATTGGTCTTGAATTCTTGGTTTCAGATGGTCATCTTGCCTCAGCCTCCCAGGTAGCTGAGAGTATAGGCAACCATGCCCAGCCACAAACACAAAACATTTAAATTCTACATATCAAAAACAAACAAACAAACAAAACACTACTACCCCTTTTCTCTCCTTTCATTCTTTCTTTTTTTCTTTTGTTGTTATTTTTGTTCTTTTGTTTTTTGGAGGTATGTCTTTCTTTGTACCTCTAGCTGGCCTGCAATTTGCTGTATTGGTCAACCTGACTTGTAATTCATAAAGAACCACCTGTCTCTGCCTCCCAAGTAATCATACTTTTTTAAGCTTACAATGAGAGGGAAAAAGTGTCACAGTAGACAAAATCTGAAGGAAAACAAATTACCCCTGCAGTGGTAGCCCGTGCCTTTGATCCCAGCACTGGGGAGGCAGAAGCAGGTGGATCTCTGAATTTGAAGCCAGCCTATTCTACAGAGTAAGTTCCAAGATAGCCATAGCTACACAGAAAAACATTATTTCAACAAACAAACAAAAACAAATCTAATAGCAAGAATCATAACAAATTAGACAATATATAAGATAAAGGCTATTGTGTTAGTGTGAATGAAAATTTCCCCAGAGGTGTTTAAAGACTTGATCCTACCAATTGTTGATGCTGTTTAGGTAGGTTTAGGGGTTGTGGGTGTTCTGCAGGCTGTAAATCACTGCAGATAGGCTTTGAGTTTTAAAAGCCATGTACCATTCCTCGTTTGTTCTCTGTTTCCTACTTGGCTGTTGAGCTCTCAGGTTGCTATTCCAGCCACCGTGCTTGCCTGCTGGCCTTCTTCCTTGCCCTGATGTGATGGACCCTTATCCTCTGAAACCCTAGGCCCAAAGAAACCCTTCTCTCTCCAAGTTGCCTGGCCATGCTGATTTATCACTGCAACATAGAAGTAACTGATATTCCTGTCTCCCAGAGGCTGGAGAGATTGCTCAGTGGTTAAGAGCACTTGCTGCTTCTGCAGAAGATCCAAATCATTTCCCAGAACCCACAAGGCAGCTTACAGTCATCTGTAATTGTAGTTCCAGTGAATCCACCACTCTTTTATGGTCTCCATAGACACCAGGCATTCTCCCAGTGTATATACATGCATGCATGCATGCATACATACATATATACATACATACATACATACATACATACATACATACCTACAGGCAAGACACTCATGCACATACAAAAATAATCTTTTAAAAAACATTATTTCCTAATAACAACAACTACAACAAAAAGAGCTCATTTGACTTTAAGAATACTCCCAGTGTTTGGTATTGTAAACCAGTCAAAATTCCATGGCTGAGGAGCTCTCAGAACCTATACACAAACTTACTATAGCTGTTTGTCCCAAGCAACATGGCATCAGTCTGCCTTGTGAATATTTATATCTAGACCTGTAAACAAACACTACACCCATCTATAATCAGAGAGCTTCTCTTTGCAAGGAACTAAGGTAAATGCAGAGACCCGTGGCAGCTCAGGGTGTGAGAATAAGTGCCCATTGCCTGTTCCACCCTACACAGGATGTTTCTACAGCCCCATCCCAGGCTCAGGGAACATTTCAGAAGAAGTTGAAAATAATGTTAGCTAGAAGATGGGGAAAGGGCTGAAAAATGAAGTCTTCCGTGCATAACATAGCAATTGAAATCATGATCTTATAGCCTGCACTTGGTGGTCCTGCCCCAGCCCTGCACCAGACTGAGCCTGTCAACAGTAACCATAGTTTGGGGAAGACTCATCCTACTGAACTGCTGTCTACTAACAGCTTCTTGGAGGGTGGCAGTCGTTGCCATCCTGTGAGCCTGTCAGGTCCTAATTCATGGATAGTTTGAAACCTATGATCGCACAGATGGCCCCGGTTACAATCAGTTAAACAAGACAAAACAAAAAGAACTGAACATGAGAAAAGAGTGTGAGGAGATGAGATTGACAGGGAAGGGAGGGAGATAATGAAGGGTCCAGAGTGAGAGGGACCAGGATGCATCCAATACATGTGTACGTGTATGCATGGTCTGCCTGAGTCCTGCTGCAGCCAAGAGAAGCAGGGTAGGCACGGTGCTCACCTCAATTTTGCCTTCCTTGGCAGCCAGCTTCAGGGGTGTGAGGCCTTGATGGTTGCAGATGTCCTCAAGCTGCACGGTGGGGCAGAGACGGGCCCCCATTTGGAGAATCTCGTCGTACATGTGGATCACCAGTGCACTGTTCTCAGGCGAGTTGTCTGCAATCATTACCAGAGCATGCAGGACTGTGTTGCCCAGGGAGTCAGTGGCCTCCAGGCTGGCAGGCTGGTGTGGGTTCTCCAGAAGGTATTTCACCACATCCCACTGCTTGGTGCATGCAGCCAGAGAAAGAGGTAGCTCTCCTGTGAACCAAGAGGGAACCTTGAGCCTTTGCCTCCACCCTAGGTACTCTTCCTGCTCCTCGGACAGAAGGCCATGTCTCTATCAAGAAGAATAAGAGGCAGCCAACCAGATCTCCCTTCCTCTCCTTGCATCTTGTCTTTAACAGAACAGACTCACTACCCCTTAATTCAAATTCTGCTTGATCAGGTTGGTTTTGATTTCACAGAGGTTTGTTGTTGTTGTTTTGTTTTGTTTTAGTTTTGTGGTGGTAGTAATGTTTTCATTTATTTATTTATTTTGAGGATTTGAGGAGGGATGTTAAAAGCAGAACCCAGGGGGAAAAGGCTCATTTCATAAACTGATAGCCAGAGCAGGACCATCAGTATTAATAGACATACCACACACACACACACATGTTTAAAAAGTTGAGGGAGCTGGAGAGATGGCTCAGCAGTTAAGAGCACTGGCTGCTCTTCCAGAGGTCCTGAGTTCAATTCCCACCAACCATCTGGTGGCTCACAACCATCTGTAATGGGATCTGATGCCTTCTTTCTGATGTGTCAGTGGCAATGTACTCATATACATAAAAAAAATTCTAAAAATAAAATAGTTGAATCCAGGGTCTTCTACATGCTAACCACAAGTTGTAATTTAATTCGTCTGGTGGTTAGAAGTAGGTAGACTGGGGTTAAGTGCCAGCTCTGCCAATCACTAACCATGTGACCTTGGACAAAGCTTGACCCACTCTGTGCCTCAGCATAGCTAAGAAAAGCTTCCTCACCAAAATAGAAACAAGTTCCTTGGTGCTTTCGGAAGAAGCGGCCACAGGCTCGGACGTGAACATTGGCTCCATTCTCTACCAGCAATTTCACGCACTGCAGGTTCCTCTTCTCTATGGCGATATGCAGTGCACTGTGGCCTCGGTAGAAGTCATCCGTGCACTGGGCATTGACAAGGGGCTGTGGATTGCCGGAATCCCTGTCAATCTGCAGCAGCGGCAGGATGCAGGCATTGACCCCTTCCTTAAGGTTCAGCACAGCCTTCATTAGGCACGTCTTTCCAGTGGAGCCTTCTGTAAGGAGAGGGGAAGACACCGGCAATTCTCAAAGAAAGGCTGGACCGTCTGCCAGTTTCTACAGCAAACCCAGGCTCCAGAGTGCCCCATGGGAGGCTGAGATATTTTCCCAGTTGCTATATTCAACTGGTGAGAACACAACTCAGTTGTAAGATACTAAGACTTCAGAGTACAGGGATTAAAATACCACCAGGCTTGACTGTAATTACTATCTTAACACCAAGTTTCTAATATATATGTAGCATTATCTGCGTGTGTTGTTGTTGTTGTTGTATTGTTGATGCAGGGTCTTGCTTTGTAGTTCTGGCTGGCCTCAACCTCCTAAAGACCCACCAGTCTCTGCCTCCCAAGTGTTAGGAGGACTAAGGGCATGTGCCACCACATCCAACCTTGTAACATTCAGTATCTGTACATGAATACCCAGGGCAGGGCTGAGGATACTGGGTTTGCTCTCCAACACCACATAAAGCCAGTTATGGTAGCACATGCTTGTAATCCCAGCACTTGGAAAGAGGAGACAAGATCAGAATAATCAAGGTCGTCCTCAGCTCCATAGCTGAGGTCGGCCTGGACTACAAGAGACCCCTGTGTAGTAAAAATAAAAAAATTAAATTCAAATCCAGGGTAGAACTTTCAAGTGTCTCCTTCACTTGAACGGCCCTGACTCCTTCAATAAGTGACTTTGCCTCTCTTAACTTATTTTTCTTTTTGATAAAGGGAAATATTCTAGGGTTATTATTATAAACACAAGAATAGCATAAACAAAGTGCTTAGCTCACAGAGGGCCAAGCAGGTAGCAAGTGGAGGTCCTAAACTACAATCCGAGCAGTCATACACAGGCACTGGTGGATTAAGTAGTGGCCAGTTTACACCAAGAGAACACCTGTGCCAC